ATATTCTTAATTGTGTTATTGATTTATTTTATATAACAAAAGTATTTCACATGTTGATGCTTCAAATAAAATATTGGATTTTTGCATTGGTATGGTTGGGCCCACTAGACTTTTTCAGTTGACTTGTGGAGTGTCGATGGATGGCATAGAAATATCTAACCGGTGAGAATGTTGACTTATTTTAGTGTATGAATTATATGAATATAACATAACCAATTTATTTTATACAATTAACAAAAAAAATGGTCTATATAAAGAACATTACAAGTTCATAAACAAATAAAATACATATCAACCCTTTTTTTTCTTTCATGGCTCCATACTTGAATCACTTCAACATGTTGCAAATCATCTCCCTTCTATATATGTTAATCAGAGTCACATGTGCTAGATCATCACTAAGCCATGATGAGGAGTGTTCAGCCTTGTTTCAATTTAAGCAAAGCATGATTCATCAAGATGATGAAGCACTTTGTGGTGCTAGTTGGTTTCAAACTTTCCACTCTTGGAAGCCTATAAGAAATGCATCAATTGCTGGTTTTGATTGTTGTTCATGGCATGGGGTGGAGTGTAGAAACGGTGATGCATATGGTCATGTGATCGGTCTTGACTTGAGCGAAAGCTTTCTTTGTGGGCATATCAACTCTAAAACCACCCTCTTCAACCTTGTTCATCTTCAAAACCTCAACCTTGCCATGAACAACTTTCATGAATCTCAAATCCCATCCGAGATTGCTCGTCTAAAGCAATTAAGAAGCCTAAATCTCTCTTATTGTGGGTTTAGTGGCCAAATCCCAATTGAAATCTCACAAATGATTCAATTGTCGTCGTTAGATTTGTCAAGGAATCCACTACAAATTCACACTCCTAGCATGGAGAACCTAATGCAAAACTTAACACGACTTGAAGAACTCGATCTCTCGCTTGTTGACATTAGTTCTTCCGTACCCCACTTTTTGGTCAACTTTTCTTCTTTGAGGTTACTTAGGCTATATAATTGTTCGCTTCGAAATGAATTCCCTATAGCCATATTCAAGTTACCAAAGTTGAAAATTCTTAACGTGGCACTCAATCCCAACCTCATTGGTTATCTTCCTGAATTTCACAACAACAGCTTACTTGACTTACGACTTTCTAGATGTTCATTCTCAGGGCGCATTCCACGTTCACTTTCTAACGTGACACAACTCACTTTCTTGACTCTTGGTGGCAATAAGTTCACAGGATTTATTCCTTCATTGGTAGGTCTTTCAAAACTTAATGCTTTGGAACTTAATGGTAACAACTTTGAGAAAGGGCAATTACCCGATTGGCTTGGTAAGCTCACTAAGCTTAATCAGTTGTATTTATCTGATAACAACTTAAATGGTGAAATCCCATCTTTTCTTGCAAACTTAACTAAACTTAGTGTTTTCTCAATGGGGTTGAATTCTCTTACTGGTCATATACCATCCTCGTTTTTCAACCTCACCCAACTAACAATGTTAGACCTTCAAGGTAATCAATTGCAAGGACCAATTTCAAGTTCATTTTCCAAGTTTAGAGGTCTTCGAGTGCTTCGTCTAAATTTTAACAATTTCATTGGTAGGGTAGACTTAGACATATTCTTAGGACTCAACAAACTCGAAGTTCTTATGTTAGGTGATAACAAGATATCATTAGTGCCTAGTGATAACTACACCATTAGCACCTTATCACAAATGAAAGACTTACAATTATCTTCATGTAACTTAAAGATATTTCCTAGCTTTTTGCGCCACCAAAATAGAATGAGGTCATTAATTTTAGATCATAACAAAATTGAGGGTAGGGTGCCAGTATGGATCTGGAATAACAGCCAAGAAACGTTACAAATGATTGACCTTTCATTCAACTCCATCACTGGTTTTCATCAGCATCCTCATTTTCTCACGTGGGAATATTTGGAAGGATTTATCATCCGGAATAATCATGTCCAAGGACAAATACCAATTCCACCACAAACCATAGTTTTTTATGATGTTTCAAATAATAATATGAGTGGAGAAATACCATCATTGCTATGTGAAATGAAATCTCTTCGACAGTTAGATCTATCTTCTAACAACATGAGTGGAACTCTTCCTTCATGTTTTGATAGCTTAAGCAATTCGTTGGTGGATTTGAATCTAAGAGGAAATAAGTTTCATGGGACAATGATGGATGCGTTTATGCATGGAAGCATGTTGGAAAGTATTGATTTGAGCGAAAATAGATTTATGGGTCAGTTGCCAAGATCACTGACAAATTGTACAAATTTAGAGGTTCTTTCTCTCGGAGATAACTCTTTTCATGGCGTCTTTCCTTTTTGGTTGGGAGCTCTTACCAAACTACAAGTTCTAGTTTTACGTTCCAACAAGTTTTATGGTCCAATTCAAGTTTTCTCACAATTCTCTAACTTACGAATCATTGACCTCTCGAACAATAACTTTAGTGGTCAATTGGACCAAAGCTACTTCCAAACTTGGAATGCCATGAAATCGATATATCTTGGAGAATCATCGGCTCTGGGAATAGGGATGAACTTCGAAGTGGGGCACTCAAAATCATCATACTCGATGACATTAATACACAAAGGTGTTAGAACAAATTACGAAAAGATTTTAACCATATTCATGGCTATTGATCTCTCTTGTAACCATTTTGAAGGAGAAATTCCACTATCACTCCAAGACCTCCGAGGGCTTCAATCACTTAATCTTTCCAACAACCATTTTTCTGGAGGCGTCTTGCCATCGTTGGGGTACCTAAAGAATCTTGAATCTTTGGATCTCTCTCGAAACGAGCTATTTGGTGAAATTCCTCAACAGTTGGTGGAACTCGGCTTCCTTTCCATTTTCAACGTGTCATTCAACAATCTTGAGGGGCGCATACCCCATGGAAAACAATTCGATACATTCGAGAACAATTCCTACATGGGGAATTCTCGATTGTGTGGACAACCATTATCCAAAGAATGTCAAGATTCAAAGGCATCAGAACTTCCACCACCAACAAGAGATACGTATGAGTCCGAGTTTGAATCTCTCCTCCCAAGCGAAAGAGTTGATTGGATTATTGTATTTTGTGGAGTTGGAAGTGGGCTTGTTGTTGGTGTTGTGATTGGGAATTTTCTGTATACAAGGTATAGTCATCGGTTCACAAAGAGGAAGGAAATATGGGTAAGGCCACTTCGTAACACCAGGAGAAACCAAGGTACAATAATTCGTTAAATTACCTTAAAATTTTATAGCAATTTTCCCAAGACAACAATTTGTTATGTGTATGTGGTCTCAACCCATTAACCAATTCAAGATATTTTTTGTGCGTCATCTACAAAATATAATAATTTTAAAAAGATTTCTTTTAAAATCACTTTTTTTATTTTACTTTAAAGTAATCTTTACAATATATTGTTGAGATTAATTGTAATTAACAATTACTTTTAGTTTTTTTATCATTTACCAAAACATTATTAAATTATATATAAAGCTAAATATGCATTTTAGCAAAGAAGATATTATTTTCATATTTTACATTTAAAATACTAAGGGACTCTATTTTTTTTTATTAATATATATATATATATATATATATATATATATATATATATATATATATATATATATATATATATATATATATATATATATATATATATATATATATATATATATATATATATATGAAGGACCTATCACATTTTTGCTAAAAGACCTACCTATTTTTGTTAAAAGATCTATCAATTTTAGTTTTATTTACATAAGAAACCATGTGATTTTTGGTTTTAGATTCACCACTGTGTAATGAATCCAATTATGTGATGTTGGTCTATATTTTCAACATGTTATTTGTTTACGATACATTTATCATGATGTTAATGAAGGCTTGTTTGTTTTAAATGTTGTATGATATAGACATATAGTACATGTTTGAATTAATTTGTATGTAATCCATATTTTAAGTTTTAACCATGTTTTCTGAAGTACACGTTTTATGACTGTGGATGTGGTATTTTCTATAGATAATCATAAACCTTACCTAATTAGCATGTATCTGCAGGAGTGTCATAAGCTTCAAGTTGGAAGGCCAAGGAGAAGGTGCATAAGGTCTGGTCTTCAAGGGATTTTAGCAAGTATCATGTGTCTTATAAGTTTAAGATTATGTTGATTTCAATTTGTATTTCTATGAGTTAAACGTTCATTGTAATTTGTAAGATATTTGATATATCATTTAGAAGTGTATCCTTGATACGTAAAAGACATGTTTGTTTTAAAATATGATATATATTGTAAACTCGGACTATATTCCCGAGGATTTCAATTTCAATGTCCTGAAGGTGTTTCTTTCATGCTTTCAAACAATTTCGTGATTCACAAATTTCAATTTTCTACATGAAATCAACAATAACCCATATTATATGACAAGCAACTCCCAAAAATATGATCTCATTTGGGTAGATTATGGTTACTCGATTCAAGTGTGGTATCCGCTGCCTAACAACTCCATTCATGATTTATTGATCATCGAATTGCTTAGATTAACTTGAACATCCATAACCATAAACAATTTGCAATTGTCCTTTTTAAAAAAGTAGTATATCATATTAGTGTATTGCCCGATTTGATCGAGAAACGCTCGAATTGACAAAATTAGGTCAAAAAATGCTATCTCAGGATAACTTTCTTCTAAGTTATTTATGTCTTGATTTAGCTTATAGATTCCAATATAAAATCATGTTACAAACATCAATTTAACACACCGTTAACAAATTTTACAATGATACTCAACATACCTTCAGTAATGAGACTTCAACTTCAAACCAAACTTACATCCTGTTCTCGAGTTCAACTTAACTAGGGAAAAGAAGGGGGGATGGATGTAAATGAGTAGAAAGTAAACGAATGTGATATTCCTAAGTTTCTTTAAATTATAGAAATTGAAGAAAGTGAGGTAAATGAAATAATCATTCCCCTACTTTTTTATAGCAGCTTTTCATGTATATCACCTACTTTTTTATTTCAAGTATATTATCAATTTCAACACAAACCAAGTCATATTATAAGAAGCCAACAATTTCAACATGAATCTCACGGACATCTCGTTAAGGTTAAATTGGTAATTTGACCATGTCCAACAAAGGGTAGAAGTAGAATAGTCATTTGATGAAACAAATATTACATAACTCCCAATTTGCACAAAAACACAAATCGCCTCCATATGTACATCAGCTCAGTATACATCCATCCGATACTACAAGTCTATGTGGGGTCCAGGAACACCGTTTTGGGGTCATACGGGCCCACCAACCCATTTGTCAAAACACGCATGGCGGCCCCACGTGAAAACTTCCTTGCAAATAAGTAACAAGGACCGCCACACCATTCCGTCCGGTTCTCAGACTTGAAATAAACACGGTCAATATCCTACAATACAAAAATAAACAAATTAAATTAATGAAAAAGTAGATTTGCTATTTCTTGCATTTAATTAATCTATTTACCTTGATAGCTTGGATATTTTTTTGGCTAGCACTTGTGTAACCAAATGTTACAGGGTGCCAAGCTAATGTATTCATTGTTTCTGTTGATTGGTTCCATAAAGAATATGTTAATGTTCTTCTCAACAATTCACCTTCAATCCCCCGCATCTTTATTACAAAAATTGAGAAAGATAACTGTTAGATTTAGCAAGGGCAAAATGGTCATTTACTTAATGAGCATGAAAAGCATGAATAGTTAAGGTGTTGTTTCTTTTTCACGTAATGGATACAAAAAACATCTCTTTTTAAGGTTTTGCTCATCTAACCATAATTTATTTGGCAAGGGTAAAATGGTCATTTACTCTTTCATAGGTGTGCATGATGAAACAATTGTATAGAATCACTAAGATTTCAAGGTTTTGCTTTACCTCAAGTAAGGTGGGAACATAATGTTCATCTGGGATGCAATTGTGTTGCTGTTGCTCTTTCTTCAATATAATAATAATAATAATAATAATAATAAGAAAATAATATAAGAATTAAGAAATAGTAGATGTTAAAAAGTAAAATAATAACATGAAAGCATAAAAAATAGTAATCATTGTACACTTACAAGAGACTCGTTTCCTTTGCTCAAGTCTAAAAGTGGTCGCCTCTATTTTTTATACAGAAAAAAATATATATATAAGAAGGGTATTTACGTCTTTTGCACAAAAAAAAAGAGAGCCTCAAAGGGAACTTAATCTTAATCAATCTTTACCTTGCAGTGTTTGTTAAAGATGGGGAAAACAACATGATCATAAGCAACAACCTCTGCGTGTCTTCTAACCAATGTAATCCACTGAAATCATGTGATTATTTAAAGTTAACTATAGTTGAAAGCCTGAAACTAATGATATAATGATTTAGACGAATAAACCTAAGAAAAGGTTAAAATTACGAAAATGACCTGGGATCCTTTCCGCCATTTGTCTTCAGGTATGTCAGGGGACATTTCTGGATTATAACGTTTTTCTGTGGCATCATCAATAAAGCTGAATAAAAATAAAAGAATACTCAACTTCAGTTGGTCAAAAAGTCAAATGAAATCAAAAGATGCCAAAGTAAATAGTAAATAGTAAATACCTGTCCACAAAGCTTCTTGGAGATGACATTATATATCTGTATATATAACTGAAATTATATAGTGGGACACAACTGCAAAGAAAAGGGACTTCAGATACTATAAGTGTTCTTCATCAAATATAAAGAGAATCAGACATTAACATTTGAACAGGTGAAAGAAACCTGTCAGAGAGGAGTATGAATATCTGATTATTAGTATCTTCAAGGGCTGCTTTGAATAATAGCTTCTCTGCTTCAATCATGGTTGGTTTACCCCAACCCACCTGTACAAATCATGTGTTGGATTATTTGATAATGTTAACATGAAAGTTTAACCAGAATTTAATTTAACATAAATCTGATGAGTTACCTCAACACTGTTTTTCAACTGTCGATTGTAGAAGAAGGCTGATCTTGTAACAGATTCATCGAATACAAAACCAGGCTTAGAGTGTATGTAAATGGTGAAATTTTCAGGATCTGCATTCTGTAAGCTCATCAACTTTAAATGTTCGATTATGTGTCTTGAAACAATTTTGTGATTAGGGACATATACATATATATGAAGTTCACATGGTTTGCAGACAAAAATTAGGGTAAAAATCTGTAGAAAGCAAATGCCACAACAATTATGCAGCCTGAGCTATTAAATCTAATATACAACCAATGTTAAACATTAATCCAGTAGCATTGTGTGCAAGAAGACAATGATTGAGCTTATGAGTTCATATCATCTGCAGTAAGCTCAAAAATGTAGGGAAACATCATTGGCACTCAAATTCCAGAAGATAAGTGTTTACTTATAGAATTTAGTCGTCAGTTGTCTGAACTATATAGTAAACCTAACAATCAATATGACGCAGAAGAGCATAAGCTGGAGTTAATTATAGATTCAAAACATCAAGCGTAAAAGGTAATGTAAGAAAGTTAGAAACAAACGAACCTTAAAGAAGTTGTGCCATAGGAAATCAAGAGGAAGATTATCTCGAACAAGGAAAAGGAAAGCAATCTTCATACGATAATCTTCGAGGCGAAACTCATCAAAACCGAATTCAGTAGATACAGACGACGACTGAAGCTTGAATTGCGAGAAGAGTCCGAAAAAGACGACGAAGCAAAACAGTACCAACAATGAGATCACAAACTTGGAAACAAACGGCGGAATCTGGCGTCTCGAAGCAACGGCAGCAAATCTCTTCTTTGCCGTCATTATCTCCCCGTAAAATCCACCTTCTCAGCGAGAAATGCGGAATCGATTGATAACCGATAGGAACGTTGAAATTAAAGACGAAAGTCGTTTGTGTGTGTGAAATGTAGGTGGAGAGTAAATTGATGGCAGCGTTTAGGTTTGGAGATTGAAAATGGATGGGAGAAAACGGCAGCGCCGACTGCGCGGCGGCGTCGCTACGGTGGCTTGAGTTTATCGACAGAATCGGACAGAAAGTAGGAGAGAATCGGTGGCACGTGAGCTGTTATCATGTTTCCTTCATTCAAATCATTTTTTGGTGAGTATAATCATCAATACATCCAACCGGTTGCTAGATACAAAAAAAAAAGGCAAAACCGATTCCAATATTCTTTTAAACAATTTATATAATTAATTAATTATATTTATACATTGTTTGTAATGAAAATTTCTGATTTGTAAATTCAATACTATTTGTTTCTTATGAAATGTTTATCATTGGTTTTAACTAAAATTAAATAACCCATCATCTTAAGGGGTTTGTCTTTTAATAAAAAAACTCAAAAAATAAAAAGTTTACTTTGATGCTAACTTTTTTTTTTTAACAAAAACTTTGTACCCAAAAGTTACTTCAAATAAAAGCATACAATAAACTTTTACCAAACATGTCCTATAACTTTTATAAATAAAATAATTTAGGAAATTTGAACACATTTTGCAAAATCCTAAGGCACCATGAAAAAGTCTTGAGAATCTACCACTATCAAGTATTAACCAATACATTTTTTCTTTTATACCACAACAGTTTGATACACTTTACAAAGGGTAAATTTGACAATTCAAATAATAATATCTTTTTTTCAATATAATGAGAGCAATGAACGCTTTGCATTAATCAGATGCTTTCATCACGAATGCCACCATAACTCCTAACACCCCCCCTGCAATCACCTGTTTCAAACAAGTTGAACGAGTTCATCATAAGGTAATCCATTACCATATCTTTTGTTTACTTTGATGACATGGATGCCAAGTCATGATTACATGGCTTATCTTTGCCATGTCATCCATTATTGACTCCTTTAAAAGTAGAATGTTGTAACAGAAAAAAAAAAAAAAAAAAAGTAGGATGTTTTTTCTTGTAAATAGTCTTTGACTATATGAGTTAGATGGAAGAGAAACCTGTAATGGAGTATGTCCAAGAGAATCACGAAGAGGTCTGGATGTGGATAAAGGGTGTTCAGGAGGAAATTCACACACAATTTGGTTTAAAACCTGCAAAAGTTTAACAAAATAAGATTTCAAATTATAATTTATTATGATTTTTTTAGTTTCTGATATGAAATTAGTTAGAATTTTACTTCAGCTTGGCGTCCAGCATGGAGTCTGACTCCAGATGCATCATACATAACCTGAAAACATTTTCAACATATGAATAAGAAGAAATTGTACAAAAAGAAACACAAAAACTGGAGATAATCATCAGAAATTTTGCTGAAATGGAAGAAGAAGAAGTACATACAATAAAAGCTAAGACAACAGCAATGGCAAATGTTGATGATTCAATTCCTTCATGTAGACCTATGGATACTGCAAGTGCCACCACAGTTGAAGAATGAGATGATGGCATTCCACCTGAGCCAACAATCTTTTTAGGATCCCATCTTCTTTCTTTATACCTGAGCTTCTAAGATTGACAAGTGAAGAGGTCAGTAAATGCATCAATGTTACTCATGTTCTTATTAGAGATCAAATTGATTGGATGCCAAAAGTAAGGGTTTACAAGAACAGAAATAGCATAACAGAAAAGAAAGTAAGGTGTTGTGTTTAGCATGTTTCTGAATCGAGCAAAATCCTCAAGGTTTGAATTTAGCTCTAGCAAATTGCAAATCGCAAATCAATTGCTAACTACATGATTTACCTATCTGTTTCTAGGCTAAGATCTGAGTTCAGCTGCATAAGAGAAACCATAAAAACTGCGAAAATTTGGCAGGTTAATGCTAGTTCAGATAAGATACTTCAGAAAAGTTGAAATGACAAAATAATATGAAGTTCTGGAATTACATGAAGATCTAGTAGGAAAAGTAAAACAATTCAATACGTGTAAAGGAAGATAAAGGTTCCGAATCGATGGAGATCGAACTGACCAGGTGGTGATGACCTTGAGGAATTGGGCAATAGCAAAGGCAAGGAAGGCTGACAACAGTGGCACACTGTAGGAGAGGGCCTGAGCTGAAGGTGAAGGTGTCGCTGCCGTCTCCGTCGCCTTGCTAGCGCGGTACGCCGCGTCGGCTATGGTGATCACTTCGTCCATTGATATTTTCAAATCGATTCACACTCGAGAAATTGCTCCAATTCTCCAACAGAGAGTTGTTGATAAAATCGAAAAATCAACGATCGAATAGAGTTTGAAATACTTACGAATTCCGTGGAGGCGGCCGGACGGCGACGTTGACGGTGGTGCACTGGTCAAACAACGCCTGTTATCCAACGAAAAGGCCGTCTTCGGCTATGCCGTCCCCTACCCGTCAATTATAAGATCCAAAGGTACTAGTTTTGATGCGTTGTGTACAAGTATGACAACGCAGAGTTCATGTAGTTTGATTGGTGGAATCTTTGTCCTTCTGTTACTAGGTCCATTATGTTTGAATTTTAAACGTTACTTTATTTGTTTATGTAAAATCTAAATAATTTAAATTGTATATTAAACAATATAAAAAAAATAAGGTCCAAAGGTATACATACAACGAAGGAGTCACCGACATACGTGGCCAGGAACTACAATCGTGCACACCATCTTAGTGTGTCATGGTCGTGTTGGCTACGACAACAGAGGCAGACGACCAATGAAATTTCGAGACTTGCATTCGACCATTCAGCGGTCATCTTTTTGTAGTTTTTAATTTATAATTTTTTTTACAAACTCAATGTCTATATAAACACAATAAAACCTTCATATTTCATCAAATCTTACATTCTCATTCTTTAAACCAAAAAGCGTAAGGATTTCTTTAAAATTTTTTACTCGGATGATGACAGAGAATTTATCTCGATCTTCTTCAACATTGTGCAACACTTTCACGATGAAGAAAGTTCAAATGTTGCACATTCGAGGCGGTCGTCAATTGTGATCGTGAAGCCATATATGACTTATTGATATGCGATTACTTTGCCGATAATTGTCTTTACAGTTATGACTCGTTCGAACGTCGTTTCCATGTAAATAAGGCTGTGTTTTTACTTATTAGTAATGCATTAGTGGCTCGTTATGATTTTTTCAAACAAAAATTCGATGCTAAAGGAATAATGGGTTTTAGTAGTTTACAAAAATGTGGATGTGTTAGGTATTTGTGATTCGATATAACATTTGATGCATCCAACGAGTATTTGAAAGTATCTGAGAGGACCGCAATTACTTATGTAGATTGGTTTTGTACATGTGTGTATGAGGTTTTTCACCAACAATATTTGTGTAACCTTACTCCACGTTATATTAAGAGATTATATTCGGCTCATGAACAAAGACATGGATTTTCGGGTATGCTTGGTAGTCTAGATTGTACGCATGTGGCTTGGGAAAAATGTCCAACAACATGGTGTGGTATTCACTCGAGGAGATATATGTGAACCAAGTATAATCCTAGAAGCTGTTTGCATCTCAGAATTTGTGAATTTGGCATTCGTTTTTTGGAGTTGCGGGGCTTAACAATGCCATTAACGTTCTTGGTCAGTCTCCCATTTTCAACGATATTTGGATCGTTAAAGCATCTGATATGTCGTTCACGGTGAACGAGCATTCGTACAAATACGGTTACTACATTTGTGATGAGATATACCCGAATTATTCTACACTTATGAAGGCATACTCGGTTTCTCGAAATGAAAATATAAAACTATTCACAAAAAGACAGGAATCAACAAGAAAGGACATCGAAAGGGCATTTAGAGTCCTTAGACATGACATATTGTAAAATATACTACACGACTTTGGGATAAGAATATGATTAAACGAATGATCCAAACATGTATTATAATGCATAATAGGATCGTCGAAGATTAAGGTCGGACGATTTGCATGTATGACCCGGATGACATAGTCATCCCGATTGAAGAGTTTACGCCTGGAACGACTGAATTTTTAGCACGAGTTGTTGAAATTCATAACAGTGAAACGTATTTTAATCTTCGAGAAGATGTCGTAGATCATTTGTATCAACTCAGCATAAACGAAGATTAGTTTTTTTAATGGTTTTTTAGTGTTTTTTTTTATTCTAGTTTTTTTAAGTAAATGTAGTTTTTTAAATTAATGTAATATTTATTTATTGAATAAAAAACTAACTAAAAAAATTTGTATGTATGTATGTATTTTTTTGTATTTAAAAGTTGTATTTTTGAATTAAAAAAAATAAAAAAAATGATGTGAAGTGGAGTTATAGTGGTGGATATCTCATATGTTTAATGGTAGCTAGTTGTGATGATCTGACACCCACCATTATACTGGTTAGTAATGAGTATAACGGATGGTATAACAACTTAACCATATTCCATAAAAATGAGATAGACTGCAGTTTCTAGGTAAGCAATTAAAATTTAAATAAAAATACTCAAAATTTTATAACTTGGAACTTTCTTTATGCAAAAATTTAAATCATTGTTTTGGTAATAAAATTGAAATATATTTATATATAAATCATTTAGAAAATTAATACAACATGTTGATCAATTAACTAACACTATGCATGTTTGTTGTCGATTGTTGGAAAAATGTATTAAGATAAATTTATAAAAGTTTCGTTGTATAATAAAACCTAAAAACTAGAAAGAGAATTTTGTCTTGAGAAACTTCTGAATTCTAAAATATAGGTTGAATATGATGTAGTGTAGTACAACGAATGTCATACCATCACCTCATAGGGATGTCAACGGGGGCAAACGGGACGGGGAGTGCATCCCCCACCCCCGGCCCCGAAATTTCCTCGTTCCTTTGCCCCCGCCACCGCCCCCGGAATGTTCAGCCTTTCTACCCCTGCCCCCGCCCCCGAATCCCCTTTATTACCCCTGCCCCGTCCCCTTCCCCCGCCCCCGATTGATTTTGGGCTACCTTTTTTTGTGCTAAAAGAAGTTGTTATTTAGGCTAAAAGAAGCTATTTTTAGGTAACAAATAATTATTTATAGTAAAATTTTACATGTTAAAAATAAAAAAGTTATAGCATTTTAAAAATTATATTAACAATTTAAAAACATGTTTTTTTGATGAATTTTGGAAGCTCAAAATCATGTTATTGTTTATTATATTTATATAATTAATATATGTAAATATATGTGGAATTTATTAACGGGGTCCCCATGGGGGTTTCGGGACGGGATTGTCTACCCCCGCCCCCGCCCCCGAAAATAAAACGGGGGTTAACCTTGCCCCCACCCCCGCTCCCGGTTTTTTTTAAAAAAAATCCCCCAAACGGGACGGGGTCCCCACGGGACTTTTTGACATCCTTATCACCTCATGTTCATCACCGGAGGAGGGGGTATCTTGGGGATTTCAAATAAAAAATTACTAGAAAGAGAATTATAAGGCAAAATTTTTGCAGTTTGCGGGCCACATCTGTAGACCTCTGCAGTAGAAGATGAGGATCAAACGTCTACAGTCTGAAAAAAGAAGATTGTTTGTTTTTTTTAACATTGGCGAACTACTAAAATAAACTGAAATCTAAATAAACTGATTTTTTTAAACTTCAAAGTGATTTTTTAATATTTTTTATGACTGTGTTATAAATAATTAACGAATTTATATCAACTTTTATGTATTATTGTATAAAAAATAAAAATAAAAATGGTATGAATCAATGTATATATTTGATAAAAAACCAACTTTGGTTGCAAAGTTATAACTAAACATTATAATTAGTAATCAAAGAATTTGATACATAAATAGATAAAAATAAACTTTAATTTTTTTCAATTAAATCCATTAAAAACGTACCATGCATATTTTTTCGAGAAATTGACGATACTGTATTAAATAATGTTTTACAAAATTTAGCAAAAAAATATAAGAATATATTATGATTTTTTTTTATATTTATATAAAAAACTTGAACGATTATTATTGTAATAAATCTTTATTTATAAATTTGTCAAAAATATCATGTTTGTATTGTCGAATGTTTTGTAATTTTTTTTTCAAATTGTTTATTATTAATAAAGTTGAAAAAAATATAAATTAAAAAAACAACTTAAAAAAATAAAGATATATATATGTTTTTTTAGGCTAGAAGATGTTAGAAGACTCTGGTCCACATCTGCGCCAAGAAGAGGGTGCGCATACATTTTTAGCTTTGCAGTCTTAAAAAAAACAAACCGTATGCAAAGGCTAATGTCTGCGCATGGTCTGCGTGGTGCAGACAGAAGAGGTCACGCAGATCTGTAGACAAAAAACAAAAACTACCTTAGTTTATTTTCATATAAAATTATAATATACGCTATAGTTTTCATTTCATGAAAAAAAACTTTATAGTTTGAAGCTACTATATGGGTGATAGTAATACATCAATAGAAAAATTAATAAATTTAAATGGTATTGAACATTTGGTTTTTGGAAATGTGAAGAATTATAATAAAACATTAATAAATACTATATTGAACACCCTCGTACCAAACATAAAGATGTTTATGCATACATGAGCTCTGTATCAGTTATCCTGTTGATTATTATATCTTAAAGGACAAAATTGCAAGTTTGGTCTCTGTGGTATGTCAAAAATTGGATGTTTGGTCCAAAAAGTTTTGGGGTTGTACTGGTGGTCCAAAAGCTTTGATTTGTTGTGGAATTGGTCCAAAGGCTTAACAGCCGTCTACCCCCTCCGTCTGTGTGAGGGTATTTTTGTCAATTCACGCTCATTCCTTTGATATCTTATTAAATTAAACCTCATCATCCTAATTAATTGATACCTGCCGCCAAATCCTCTGTGCATTTCGTCGATCGACTCTCCTGTCACTTTCATCTTCATTCGTTACCCAGAAGCCCTAACCTCCAAGTTGAGTTTTTTATTGTGATCGGTGTTATTTCAGTGTATGAACATACCAATGTGGAATATAAGGCTCTTAGACAAACCGTTCAACGCAAAGGTGGCTTATGGTAAGGATTTTGTAATTTCTCTGTACATTACATGTTTTGTATGTGAAATCATGCTTCTGAACTTATTTTTGTTGTTGGTTGAAGATGGCCACCCAACATTATTTACCATCAAGCTATACCATGGAGGTGAGTTCACCAAGTTTCCTGATGTTCAATACATTGACGGAAGTGTGAACTATGTTGACATGGTGGATATAGACACGTTTTCAGTTCATGAGTTGGATGCTATCATGAAAGGGTTCAGGTACGGTGTTCCTCCTGTGATTTACTATCACTTCCTTGTGCCTGGTGGAGACTTCCACTTTGGTCTTAAACCCTTAGGCAATGATGATGATTTACGAACTTTTGCCCAATATGTGTGTGATCACAAAATCATGAGGGTATATACTGAACATGGTGAGACAAAGTTACTTACCTACTTTATGAATCCTAAACCTGTTAAGAAGGTAACTATTGTACAAATGGATGAAATAGATGAAAATGATGACAATGAAAACCACACAGCTGAGGTACAAGAATTTCCAAGCCCACCTAGATCATCCCCTGTTGAGGTTGAGGTACAACCATTACATGTCGAGGTTCATGATAGACAAAAAGAGCTTATTGCCAATGACTTTATGGAGGCAGCTACAGAATTTGATATTGGTTTGTATCAAAAGATGTTACAATCAAATGCAGATGTTCATGAACATGTACAAGTAGAAGTGGAAGAACATGTTCAAGATGAAGTAGAAGAACATGCACAAGTAGAAGTAGAAAAAAATGTACAAGATGAAGTGGAACTGGATCATGGACATGAGGCTGCCATGGAAGACAACTTGGATAATTACATGGATAATTACATAGACAACAACATGGATGATTACATGGAGACTGAAATGGAGCATGACAATGGGAGCAAATCTGATGGAGAAGATGGGAGCATATCTGATAGGGGAGAGGGTAGTCACTGTGATGAGGAAAATGATAGTGAGGATAGTGATTGGGTGGATGAGGAGAATATCATTCCTGAAGTTGAAGTCGATATGAGGGATTTCCACATGAACATTGACACTGAAGCAGAGTTTTTTGAGAAAAGACTAAGGAATAGCATGGAGAAAGATAGAAATCAGGAGCATGAAGATATGGAGTTGGATGTTATTGACAATGATGAATGGGATTCAACAGATGATGATTCTGAGATGGGCAAGAAGAGAAGACAAGTTATTAAAGAATTAGGTAAGGAAAAAAGGTGTTCTTTAGGAGAAGTTCATAAACCAACATTTCGTATAGGACAAAAATATAAAAGTAAAAAAGAGTTGAAAGACAAAATTGCCCATCATGCCTTGGAAACCAGGAAGAATCTTTTTATTAAGAAAAATGATAAACTTAGGTTGCGGGCCACATGCAAAGGAAAAGTAGTATTCAATGAGGGGCAAGTGGATGGACCTACCACTGGGAAGAAAAGTAAAGGCAAAAGTAAAAAGACAAAGACAAGTACTGAACTGTCTTGTCAGTGGGTTTTACAAGCATCTAGGAAAAGTGAGGAAGAAAGTTGGTGTGTGAAAACCTACCAACCTGAGCATTCATGTCTCAATACAAGAAAGGTAAGAACGGCCACAGCAAACTTCATCTCTAAACAGATTATGGATCTAGTGGAATCTAACCCAACTGTGCCAATCAAAGCTGTACAAGAACTACTTCAGAAAAGATATCAGGTGAGCTTCTCCAAAGACAAGGTATTTAGGGCTATAGCAGATGCCAAAAAACATGTGATGGGAGACTACACAAAACAATATGATGTGCTGAGAGATTACATATTAGAGTTGCAGTCCACAAATCCTGACACAACTGTGAAACTGGAACTGGTTCCAGAACCAAATCTTGTAAATGCAACTTCAAGATGTTTTCAGAGAATTTATATTTGCTTGGGTGGAATGAAAAAGGGGTTCAAAGCATGCTTAAGGGATTTTATTGGTTTAGATGGGGCCTTCATGAAAGGAGCTTACCCAGGGCAGATCTTGACTGCAGTTGGCTTAGATTCTAACAATGGTATATACCCATTGGCATACGCCATTGTTGAGTCTGAGAGCACACAAAGTTGGAAATGGTTTCTAGAGTACCTGGGAGATGATTTGGACCTGTCACAACTTTCAAACTTCACTTTCATAAGTGATAGACAAAAGGTAATAGATTTCCTTGATGTATTTTAGTTTTCTTATTACACTTGTATTATACTAACCACAGTTTAATGACTTTGTAGGGCTTAATTCCAGCCATTGCACAGTTGTTCCCGGTTGCTGAACACAGATTCTGTCTTAGACATATCTATGAAAACATGAGGAAGAGATGGAGAACTACTGAGTACAAAGAAAAGTTATGGAACTGTGCCAAAGCCACAACAGTGCAAGAATTCAATCGTTTGATGAAAGAGTTTAGTGAATATGACATAGAAGCTTATGAATGGTTGAAGAAGATCCCACCACAACATTGGGCTAGAAGCCATTTCACAGGTAGACAACTCTCAATTCAGTGCTAAGTTACACAAATTTGTTGTATGCTGTTCTAAATAACAATTATCTTGCAGGTAGACCAATCACAGACATGCTTTTAAATAACCTATGTGAAGTGTTTAACAGTAAACTGATAGAAGGTAGGGATAAACCAATAATCACATGCTTAGAGTACATTCGGGAGTACATGATGAAGAGGATTTGCAATGTGATAAAGGTTCAACAGAAGTGTGCAGGTCCATTGACTCCAACAGCAACAAAGATCATGGAAACAAACACAACAAATGCTTCTAACTACATAGCCAGGTGGAATTCCTCAGACAAGTATGAAGTACAAGGACCATGGCAAGATCAACATGTTGTTGACATGGGCCAAAGGGTATGCAGCTGTAGGAAATGGGAATTAACAGGAATTCCTTGTAGGCATGTGATTGCAGTCTTATTTGATAAAGCTGACAATGGTGAGGATGTGGGTGAACTTTACACTTATGTACACAAGGTGCATTGGCTTGAAACCTGGAAAGAGGCTTATTCCTACAAGGTAGAACCAATCAAAGGTCGTATCATGTGGCCTGTTAGTGATTGTCCAATAAAGATCAGCCCTCCTCCACATCGTAATCAGCCTGGTAGGCCCAAGAAGAAGAGGCAAAGATCCATGGAGGAAAAATCTCAAAGTCAGAGCCAAACTCAAAGTCAAAGTCAAACAATTGGTGCTAGTGGTATAGATGGTCATGGTCCAGGGGCAGTGGAAAACTCACAAGGAAGTTCATTACTGTCACTTGTAGCAAGTGTAAAAACAAGGGACATAATGCAAGAACATGTAAGGGGCAATGAGGAAATTGATGTGTTGTCTTGTTGGATTAAGATGATGTAATGTGTTACTTTTGGGAACCATTGTGTTGTTCTTTTGGGTGTCTGTTTAATGGTTTTGATGTTTTTTGGACAACTTTACCCTCCGTTTAGAATGATGTTTTTTTTGGTCATGTAACAAGAATTTGGTATGTGCAAACAATGGTTATTAACTTTGGATGTTCTTTTGTTTATGCATCATTGTCCTTTACTTTTTAGCATCTTTATGTTACTATTAGGTTATGTTAAGCATTAACAGTTTGTCCCATCACTGCTATGTCTAGTAGAACCAAAATATTTGGATGTTTGAAACAAATAACTTCATTACCCACTAACCATAACAATGCATTCACTTTCATGTCCAAAAGAGTACATTCACAAACATAGCAATTTTCCCAAATCTACCACAAAATAAACCACTAAAACATGGAAGAACTACTTCATCAGAAAAAAAACAAACCCAAAAAAAACCCAGCTACATATCAGGTACAACTTTAGTTTTGATTTTTCTTCCTTTATTTTTCCAATATCATACTTGAACATTTGATTTTCTTCCTTCAATTTTCCAACTTCAGTCTTTAGCTTGTTGATTGATCTCAGCAACCCAGGTATTATTGATTTTGATCGTTCACACATTTGAGGGTCGATCCATCCCACAAACCCACATGTCGAATCCTAGCAAAATATAAGAAGGAATTGAGTGATCAGTGAAAAATCTTCATAACCAACCACATGAATACTAACCTCTTTAGGGCATCCCCAAAAACGTCGACCAGGGTTCTTATCAGTCCAAGCCGTTCGCACTATCGCCATTTGACCACAAAAACACCTCACCATTGTTGATTTTGAGTTTGGAAGACACGATTTTGATTTTAGCAGGAGGAGATATCGATTTAGGGAAAAGATGAAACACATGTTCGATCTATTAATAAGGAGAGTAGACGTTAGGAGGGGTTTAATTTAATAAGATATCAAAGGAATGAGCGTGAATTGACAAAAATACCCTCACACAGACGGAGGGGGTAGACGGCTGTTAAGCCTTTGGACCAATTCCACAACAAATCAAAGCTTTTGGACCACCAGTACAACTCCAAAACTTTTTGGACCAAACATCCAATTTTTGACATACCACAGGGACCAAACTTGCAATTTTGTCTATCTTAAAGCCAATAAATTATTGATTACAAGTCTAATTTAAAACATGACAAATGGTCCTTGTGGTATGTCTAAAATTGCCACTTTGATCCAAAAAAGTTTAGAGTAGCACCAGTAGTCCAAAACTTTAATTTTGTTGCGAGTTTGATCTAAAAGTTTTGAAACATTATTAAATTGACGGATTTGCCCTTGATATTTTCTTTTTCCATTTTTTATTTACTTCTAACACACTTTTAATTAAAAAAATAAAAAGAAACTAACCCCCACCCTCACTCCGTACCCTACTCCAACCCCCCCCCCCTTTTTTTTTCTCTCTCTCTCTCTCTCTCTCTCTCACAACTAACTTGACCATCATCGGAAAAGCTTGAACACCATTGCTGGAAAAGATGAACGCAACCACCTTCACCAGAAAAGACGAACGCAATCACCACCGCCGGAAAAGATGACCATTTCAACCAGGTCAGCACACAAGTCAACACCACCACCATCTACTAGAAAAACCTTCGATCCGAAAAGTATTGTTTTCCGGCGGCAAAGACAAACAAACCTTCGATTTTCCTGATGGGTTTTGGTCATAAGACATCTTATGTGCTCATACAAACCCTAATGCTTGGATCTAGGTTTCTCTATTGTACATGCTTTGAATCCAAGACTATAAACCCTAATTCTAGCATTCAAGTAATCATATTAATATGTAATTAGGTTTAAGATATTACCTTGATTGTTATGTAGCAATAACAATCCTAATTCCTCCTTGAATTGACTTTGGAAGGCTTAGAGTCACAAGTGTCACTCCTCTAATGGCTTACAAACACCAAGAGCAAATGGAGAAGGTATAAAGAGAGAGGAGAGAGGTAGGAATTCGTCCTTAGGACTTCTTGGGAAGGCTTAGACGAATTCATGAGCCTTAGGGGGTTTATATAGGTGTAAAGATTAGGGTTTTAGTCCTTATCCTTATCTAGTTGCTTGCCCACCAAGTAACCATAAGATAAGTCTTAGAAACCCTTATCCTAGTAGAATTCTAAAGCATTATCTCCTTAAATTCGTTCACCCTATATTTAAGATAATCTTTACCTTATTTTGTAACTATCACATAATTACAAATCAGCCCCTCTAGTTTAATTAATTACACTTGATCACAAAATTAATTCCTAATTAATTATTGACCAATATTAATTAAACAAATATGATTTCTCCTTTAATATATTATTCTTATAACATATTAATAAATCATAATAACCTCTCCCTCTTTATTTATTTCTCCAATCAAGTTGCTTTGGTGAAGGCAACCCAAAAGGACCATGCACCATCGGGTCAAGTACATACCAAAATAGTTATGGACTTAGACACTAATCCAACATTTCCGGCATAGACAGACAAACCTACTATTTTCGGTGAAGATAAAAAAACCCTCAAAAACCTCCTTAAACGTTGTCGATCTGAAAACAATCCCCCTCTTTAGATCTTGCTCATGGTCGTTGTCGGTTTTCAGACAAACAAACTCTTCCCCGTGTCGAAACCATGAAGGTCGTTGGTCTCTGGATATGTTTGTCGAAACGCCGCCTATCCACACACGTCGGAGCCGGATATGTCACCCTTTACCCAAACGATTTAAGGTTTTCACTCCATAAACCCTCGGATCTGAAAAACTTCTCGTCGGATCTCGAGTAATGAACATATATGAAACCCTTCAGTGGTGCTGAAAACCCACCGTCGGAGCCCTTCTTTGGCGCTGAAAACCAACCGTCGCAGCCGCTTGTTATAGCAAACCCTAGCGTCGCCGCCTTTCATAACAAATTGTAACGTCGTTCTTTATCTCTCTCTCACGTGTCCGAGGTGGTTTAGGGTTTGCAAACCCTGATTACGTTCGTATCTCTTCGTTTCACTCCTCTTCCGACGGCGATGGCAGCTTCCGGTGGCGGTGGTGGCTGTACTGCTGACGGATGATGGCAATGTTAAGTGATGCACATATAAAAGGGATGAGGGGTTATTACATTTTGTTTCTTATTTATTTTAATAAAAAAATAATAAAATTAATAAAAGAAAACAGAAAAAGAAAATACCAAGGGCAAAATCATCACTTTAAATATTTTCAAAAAGAATTGGACCAAAACCGTAACAAAATGAAAATCTTGGATCTCTGGTGCTAGTCCAAACCTTTTTGGACCAAAGTGACAATTTTGGACATAATACATGGACCATTTGTGCAGTTTAGTCTTAAAACATCATAGATTTTTAATTCAAATGATGGGCTAATCCTTTATCTAAGAAAAGGAAGATATATTTTGTTATCGGTGAATGCAACCAATTTGAATTTTACCAATTCATAAAGTTTTGTTTCAATTTAGGGTCAAGAATCTGTCATTTGGTATATCATTTTTTATTTTGATAGAAAAATTAACAATCTTTTTTTCTAAAAAAGTTTCTTTTATGAGTCATCTCCCTCCCTCCCCCACAAGGTGTTACATGTTAGGATATATTTGTCATTCTTTCTATGGATCCATAGCACCCGTTAATAACATATACCAGTACTTCATGTTAAGTACTTGGTACTGGCTATGAGGATCAGTGGTTGGATGTAGTTTGAAACGTCCGAATCTACATATCATTGGTCCATTAATCACAATAATATACAAATCATTGGCCCATTAATCACAATAATATCAAAAGTAGAACTACAAACTAACGTTGTGTTAAAAACAAATTTTATTATGCAACTCACGACTATAAATAAGAACTCAACCGATCATATTCATATTTCTTGATATAGGTAGGATTAGTTTTTTCTGGATTGCAACCCATGTAAGGAGGCTAGAAATGTTTTGCTTTGTTATTTATTTATTTTTATGGATTCACTTTTGATGAACTCATTTCTAACAACATAACTTTGTCAAAATCTTAACCAACACATATGTTATAATAATTTTTTTAAAGACTACAAAATATTAACCTGAAACACTTTAAATCATGTCTATGCCATATAAAGTAAAAGTATTTTTTGAAAAGGTAGTCCAAAATGTCAATATCCGAAATACTTTAGTTCCATTAAGTAAAAAAACGTCTAATGTGATTTTGATTTCATCTGAAACTAGCCATTTTGGAATTGTTGGCCATATTTGCAAACACGCAAAATGTTGATCGTTTTTCTATATTCCAAAATTACATTTGGGTTATTTTTGTGGATATCCCCAATATATATCTCCCAAAGATAACCTATGCAAAGATGCTCATTACATGATTGTCGGAGTCCCACATAAACCTGCACCCATTCGTCATCTATAGTGAAAGCTGATAAAAAAACCCTAATCAACACTTACAATTGCGGTCATTTCATCCGAGTTGGTCCAATTTTTTGTGGAACATCAACCAACAAAAACTATCACATGGACCAAGAAACCATGGGATAATGACTTAGGAGAGTAATTAGGTTTCTAGTTTGTCCGTATTAGGTCACTAAGGTTTTTTTGTGCGTATTAAACCAATATGGTTGTTATCACCGTTTAGAAATAGTCATTTTTATCGGTTTCTTTCTGTTTAACCGGTAAAAATGACTATTTCTAAACGGTAATAACAACCATATTGGTCTAATACGTACAAAAAAAACCTTAGTGACCTAATACAGACAAACTAAAAACCTTAGTGACCTAATACAGACAAACTAGAAACCTAATTACCCTCCTAAGTCATTAACCCTAATTTTAAAGACATTGAGAATATATGACCGTCAACAGTAAACTAGTTCGTTTAGAACTCACGTTGTAACATCCCAAGTTCGGAACAAGAAGTGAAGGGTGCTAAGTGTAAATTGTAACATCCGGAATTTCAGATATTATATTTATTCTTTTAAATTTCAAGTTTTGGGAAGGACTCGGCGAGTTGATGAGTAGACTCGCCGAGTAGAGACGCGAATCATTATCCGGGTGGACGGCTGGACTCGGCGAGTCGCCCCAAGGACTCGACGAGTCCACATTGTTTAATGAAACCCTAATTCCTCGGGTTTGGGGCCTATTTAAAGGGCCTTATGGCCGTCATTTGCGGCTACTAGACCCCAGAGAAAAACCATAAGTGTGCTAGAGTGTTTGTGAGAGGGAAAGGAGCTATTTCTTGATCTTTGTTGGTGTTTTTGCAAATAGAAGTGGACCAAGACAAGAGGAGGATAGAGAGGGTGCTAATCTAGTGATTCCAGAGCTCAGAGACTTCATTTTGAGGTATCCATTTGAACCCTCCTTCAGTTTATGATTTGATTCTTAGAGTTAGGGCTTTTTAGCCCCATTAGAGGATGGTTATATGGAGTAATTGGTCCCTTCTCGTGTTGGTGCTGTAGATCTGGACCCAAAGAGGTCCAGAGACCCTTTCCCCTTGAGCTTTATGGGTATTAATGGAGGTTATGAACTTAGGGTGTCACTTTAGAGGTCATATCTTCAAATAAGGCCTTTGATCCTTTGCATGTGCACCAAGATGTTAGATTTACGTGATTATAATGCCTTGGGAAGCTGTATCTATGGTTTAGAGGAGCGGATCTGACCTCATGAGGTCAGTTCAGCTTGAGCATGGCATGGACTCGCCGAGTCCTTTAGCCAACTCGACGAGCATGACGAGGGTTTTCCCGATAATCACACGGTTGTCGACTCACCAAGTTGGGGAAGTGACTCGGTGAGTCAGAGGGAATCTAGAGGACAGAGTGCATGATGGTACTCGCCGAGTCAGGAGCCGGACTCAGCGAGTTGGGTCAGGACATTTCACAAATTGTGATCAGTGATGATTTGCAGAGTTGAGGTTGACTCAGTGAGTCGAATGAAGACTAGGAGAGTGAAGAGCATGTGTGGACTCGCCGAGTCACAGTTGCACACTCAGCGAGTTTGGTCAAGGTTGACCGTTAACTTCGTTGACTTTTAGGGTTAGTCAATGTTTGGACCTTAGAGTCATAGGAAGGGTAGGATAGTCTTTTACCCTTCCTAGTGTATGTATTGAGAGGAAGAGTTGCCTAGCCCTGAGGGTTGTATTAATTAGGGTATTTATTTCATGTGATTAGGCATAGGCTAGACCAGAGTTACCGAGTCAGAGATTTACTGAGACATCCGAGGTGAGTCTTCTCACTATACTTTACCTTGAGTAGGTAAAAAGAGTTATGTGATACAGTGTTTTATATATATTGTTTGTTACATTGCATTCTTCTATGTGATTTATGTTGTGCATGCTTGCAGAGTTAGAACCCGAGAGTTCAAAGAGTTTGGGTGCACGGACCCACAGAGTTATAGCCTCGAGTGGCTAATATGTGTTATATGTGGTATTTTTGGGAACTCACTAAGCTTTGTGCTTACAGTGTTTTGTGTTATGTGTTTCAGGTACCAGTGACGATCGCGGAAAGGTGCCGGTTTGATCAGTACACACACGAGATTTTTATGCTATGAGATCTTGGGATTGATATATGTTATGAATTGAGTTTCAAACAATGATGTTTTTATGAATAATAAATGAATTATATTTTTATAAAATGCGAAATTTTGTTTTGGAAATTTACGTTGTTACATAAATAAAGGAAGGGACACGACGAGTAGGTACGCTTACTCGCCGAGTCGGAGCGGGTTTGGATCGCGAATTAAGTGACCAACTCGCCGAGTCGGAAGCTGGACTCGACGAGTTGGTGCTGGAAGGAGAAAACCCTAATCCTAGGGTTTGCACCCTATTTAAAGGATCTTATGTCCTCTCCACACCCCCCTTATCGGCCAAAAGCTTCTATAAGCGATTCCAAACCCTAATTTGAGTAAGAGGAGGAAGAAAGTGAGTTTGGGGCTTTTGCAAGAGGAAGATTTGGAGGTTTCGACCACTAAGGAGCTGGAGGATTCAACTCTTTGGTTGTGAGCATCAGTTGAAGGTAACAATCTGTCACTTTGCCTTTTTTGCTTCTAGATCTTTCCTTGGATGATGTTTTGAGGGCCATTTTGGCATGTTAAGGAGATATTTCGAGTTAGAGGCTTAGATTTGAGGTTGCTACTTCAGATCTAGGCTTGTAATAGTCCATAATGTCATAATGTTTCAATCATCGAGTTGTTGGTGAAGCCCATTTGTCTAAAACCCAAGCCCTAGTGTGTTTTGAGCCTATATCTCCTTGGTTTCACGTAAAGTTTGCAACTTTATGTGAGGGTTAGATTGTAGAAGGGTGGATCTATGGATTGGAGCCCCTGCATGGCTCGAAAAGCCTCTGAATGTGTCACAATCAGGAATTTTGTTCCTTGTAACTACAACACTTAAGTCAAATTACGAATCAAAAACATAAGAGCATGTATGATGCTTACTCTATGACAATAAAAATTTCAATCAAACACCCCATGCCAATAATTCAAATAGTCGTTAAACAATTGGAAACCCTAGAAGTTCTTGTTTAAGTCCATTTTTGGACTAGGACTTCTTTATTGGGCCCAAAGGACCAATAAGCTTCCAATTGGGTTATCTTGGGCTTAGAACTCTTAAATGGGCTCTAATTGGACCCATTTCCATTTAATTCAATATTTTGGGCCATATTGGGCCTAAAATGAAATAGAATAATTATATGAACCATTTTGGACCATAATTAACCTAATCTAGCCTAATAAAGCATAAAAATCACATTTATATTTTTTTAGGGCCAACAATCATCCAACCTAGCTATAACATGGGCTTAAGGGCAAAAAGCCCAAGAACCTCCTATTACCCTCCCCATTCTCGGCCCAAGCCCAAGAGAAAGAGGAGTTGACTTTGTGAGTGACACCTCACAATTGTTCATTGGACATCCATGCATGAAAACTCAAAGATCCATGCACTCTCATACTTCCAAGCTTAGCCACTATTTTTCTCCCTCTCTCTCTTGCTCTCGGCCAAGTTCAAGCACACACACACACACAAACACATTTCACTCACTTTTCTCTCAAGAAAACTCTCTCATGCCTCCTTCATATTTTCGAGATCTAAGAAGGATTCAAGGGGATTCTTACACAAATTCTTCATCTAAGGTAAGATAAAGTTTGGATCTATGATATAGGTTCTTTGTTTTATCAAAATCTCCTTCTAATCCATGTAAAAATCATGATCACTCTCTTAGAGACCCTCTAAGTTCGAGATCTTCCAAGGAGGGGTACTAAGGCCGGATTTTCTTCTCATTTTCTTCCACAAACCGAAACCACACCCAAAGGTGAGCTTCATACCCCCTATTTTTCTATTTTTATAAGTTTTTGTGGGGGAGAATACAAGCAAATGTGTAGATCTATGAGTTCATGTATGTCTTGTGTGATTTTATGCATGTATGTATGGTTTTTATGTGTTATGTGATGATTATGCTAGCTAAAAATACCTAAAAACCGAGATATACAACATGAAGAATGAAATAAACATAGCTTATACCATTCTACACTAATCAAGTAAATAAAAATGATTTATTTAGTTAGGATGAACATTTTTGGACACAAAACCCATTTTTGGGCCCAAAATGTCAAAAATACAAAACTAAGGGGCCCAAAATGACAAAACATAATTTCTGGAGGTTGAAACAAGTCCAAACAGTTTTTAAGATAATTTTTCTGAATAAAAACACTTTGGAGGGGCTTAAAATGTGAATTTTAAACCTAATGGGCTAAAAAATGGGTTTTTCGGCCCAATAAGCCCCAAATTGCGAAAATCCGGAAATAGAGGGGCTGAAACTGCACATTTATGAAAAACAGGGGATTACTAGTGTAATAAAACTATTTCAAGGGTCAAAAATGTTTTCAAATTAAAAAGGGACTAAAAATGTAAAAATATTCCATTTTGGGCCAAAATTGTAAAAGTTGCGAAAATGGGGGTTTCAGCCGAGAAAATTTCATTTTGAGGGACTTAAGCTTTTTTTCAAGTAAATTTGTGCTAAAAATGTCTTTCCAATAAGTTTTGATACTAAAGTGTCAAGAAAAATAGTTTACGGACTAAACCGGAAATTCTTTTATACACAAAGGGTTAAAAGTGTAAATTTTATCCGAGAAAGGGCTTAAGAAGATAAACTCACATTCTTAAAACAATAGATCCCTTAAAATAAAAGTATGAGTACTACGTCTACCGGCGAAACTTGATAATAAATACACCTTCAACACCAAAATCGTTACCAAACGAATTGATTCGGTCTCGAATCAATAACGAATCAAAAATCAATATAGAACGGTACTACAATACACACGCGGTAATATACGAGAAGTCAATACACATTCTTTGGGCTTAAAAGTTTCAAATCGTGCTTGTTGGGCCTAGCTAGCCCAATAACATGATCTTTAGGCCCGAAGGGAACACGCTTACATGTTATTGGGCCTTACATGACCTAATTCCTTGTAAAAGGACTTTCAATAGCCTTATTGTGCTGTTGGGCCCCAAGGGTCCTTTGGTACTGCTAGCAAAGTCGAGAAGTCAAATGCGAGTCGGACCAAGTGCCTTTCGCATTCACGATAGCCTTGAACGACTTATGGAAATATCGAGGGCTTCGTACCCTCTATTCTCCTCAGTTGTGGGGCTATGAGAAGTCAGGGTGGTTGGATTAAGTGAGTCTTACGGACGACGCCAAAAGGATAGTTTGTAATTGGTAGTTATAAACTAGTCATTTTCATTAATGCGTGATTATAACGACTCACAACTCATAATAAATCAAATGTCACCTGGAATCATCGAATACAAACGTCGCAACGGCATAACAATAGATAAGACACGTAATTTAATGTATTAGGAAAACATCGGATGCGCACCAATTCTAACAATTATTCACACTTACAGAAATCAACAAGCATACTTACGGATCTCCACACTTTTTCTTATATACAACACATTTTTTTTCCAGAAAATATCGGATTTTCTGGTGGTTTTCAAAACAATACAAATCATTACTTTTCAAACATTACTTATGAACTCACCAACATTTCATATGTCGACGTTTTTCCAAAATACTTGTATTCTTAGGTAACAGGTAAATCGAAGAAAATGTATCCAGTGATATCTTGATGTTTTGTTTAATTAATCAAACGATTTATGTTTTGGAAATGTAATGTTTTAAAACAATGTACTGAATGTAAACACTGACGGTTGTAATATTTCAATGCATGGTGATGAATGATGTTATGATTCATGTATATTCATTGTGATGGTATTCAATTAAGTCACAATAGCCCTCGAATGTTTCCGCCGTCTGGTTCGGGGGTGTGACAGAATGGATTGAGAATTGGAGAGACTCGGCAAGTCACATGGGTGTACTCGACGAGTTGTATAAACATGTGCATGGACACGGCGAGTTGGAAGAACAACTCGGCAAGTCTGTTGAAGATTGCCTTGGACTCGGCGAGTCTGTTCTTGGACTCGACGAGTCTGGTTGCAGAACCCAAACTCTTTTGGGTTAAAGCTTTGGATTGTGAGCCGGTTGGCGACTCAGTGAGTTGGCAGGAAGGGACTCAGAGATCGTTGGACTCGGCGAGTCTTGGGGTGACTCGACGAGTTAAGTTGTGATATCAGAGTTTCTGGGTATGGGAACTCAGCGAGTCGACGGGTTGACTAGACGAGTAGAAGTCAACCAGGAAGGTTGACTTTGACTGAGGACTTTGACTTTGACCAAGAGTTGACCAGTTTGACTTCCAAGGGTGTTTTGGTAATTTTGAGTATTTATGGAATTGGTTCTTTGGTAATGTTCTGTGGTGAAGTTCGTGTCGGTGGTCGGAGCAGCTTGGTCTTATCTCTTCAGTCGACAATTACAAGTGAGTTATCCTCGCTATATCGATAGGGTCTACGGCACCAAGGCCGGCCCTTTATCGGATGGAAATTCGGGTATTGTTTGTTATGTTATTGCTTTGCTAGATCTGCATCCTGGTATTTAGGATGGTATTATGTTAGTGACTTGGTTAAGGTCAGTACCCGGTATATAGGGTAATGTTATGCTAATGACCGGTTATGTAGGAATCCTAGTTAGGATGTTGATATGCTACGTGATCTGTTAGACTGTTTGTCTGGTTAAGGATTTGTTATGTGGTTAATTACTGTATGTGCACATGGTTGTTTGGCGGGGGTTGGGCAGGTCCTGCTTTGTGCTATAGGCCAACATACCCAGGGCAGATCGGATATTCCGAAGGCCCAGCGAGCGGTCCGGATAGGCTGAAGGCCCCAAGAGGGCAGACCAGACGTGACAAGGCTCGGAGAGTGGACCAGGCCGACTGAAGGCCCGGTGTGGGCGGACCAGTCATACTATAGACTCAGAGAGTGGACCAGGTGGATTGAAGGCTCGGTGCAGGCGTACCAATCACACTGTAGACTTGATGTACATGGCTAAACTCGGAGGGTTGACCAGGTGGACCAGTCACACAGTAGACCCGATGTGCATGGTTGTTCTATTTGTGATATGTTATAGGTATGTTTATGTGTGGTTGGTATTTTGGGGTAACTCACTAAGCTTTTAGGCTTACAGTTCAGTGTATTGTTTCAGGTACTTTTGGAGATCGTGGCAAGGCGAAGGCATGATCGTACCGCTCCTCATGTTTTGTGATTTATGTGATATGGTTCTGGGGAATACTCTGATGTTTAAACTATTTTGAAAACAAGATGTATGAACTTAATGGTTTTTGAATGAGATAAAATGTTTTAATTTGGCTCAAATTTTATGGTCGTTAGACACGTCGTCCTATATCGATCAGAAGAAGAACCTGTTACTATATATGGCGAAGCTCTTCATCTATAGTCGTCCCTTTCGGGGAAATCCGATAAAATTGGAACAATACAGAGAAGATTAGCATGGCCCATACGCAAGGTTGACACACACAAATTGAGAAATGTTCTAATTTTTTTTAAACCCTTCGTCGTCTTCTCTGAAACCCTAATTCCTTTTTCAAATGCTAATAGAGTTCAATTGCAATTCTTACGTTTTATGCTTTATAAACTTCCATTTATGTGTTGTATATAATCTGTATGTGTTTGTTTATGTGCTGATTTTTCATGTTATGGTTTTGCTGTTTATAAAATAATTGATAATAGACATCCTTTGCAAGTTCCTTAGTGAACATGTTTTCTAAATAATTAGGGTTAATGACTTAGGAGGGTAATTAGGTTTCAAGTTTATCCGTATTAGGTAACTAATGTTTTTTTGTGCGTATTAGAACAATATGGTTGTTATTACTGTTTAGAAAATAATCATTTTTACCAGTTAAACAGGAAGAAACCGGTAAAAAAGATTATTTTTAAACGGTAATAACAACCATATTGATCTAATACGCAAAAAAAAAAAAAAAAAAAAAAAAAAAAAAAAAAATAGTTATTTAATACGGACAAACTGAAAACCTAATTACCATCCTAAATCATTATTATCCCAAGAAACCATTCTTGTGGGTAATAAATTCATTTAATTATTACATTGTTTTAAAATAAACTATTTATGACTACATATGAATAAATAAAATAATGCACATGTTGGTCTAATACGCACAAAAAAAAACATTAGTTATCTAATACGGACAAACTGAAAACCTAATTACCATCCTAAATCATTATTATCCCAAGAAACCATTCTTGTGGGTAATAAATTCATTTAATTATTACATTGTTTTAAAATAAACTATTTATGACTACATATGAATAAATAAAATAATGCACATGTTGGTCTAATACGCACAAAAAAAAACATTAGTTATCTAATACGGACAAACTGAAAACCTAATTACCATCCTAAATCATTATTATCCCAAGAAACCATTCTTGTGGGTAATAAATTCATTTAATTATTACATTGTTTTAAAATAAACATATAAATAAATAAAATAATGCACATAAGTTAAGGAACACTTGATTATAATTAGCAATTTTTTTTTTCTAGGACAAGATGGCCCAAGTTGCCAACACCAAAAACAAATCCCAACTTTTTGATTAACCAAAACAATATACACATAAAGGCTTCATCTCAAAGTCATTCACAAACACCCCACCCACCAAAACCCTAAAAATCCGATCTTACGGACACGATCTTTCATCAGTAACACACAACAGTGTTCGCGATGACTCACTCCGTTGGCTCCTAACCGGCGTGTTGACCCGCGACTCACGTTTCGTAGGGACAAGCGCCGGTTCTTTCGGCCACTCATCATCACTCACACCATCATCACTCCCATCCCATCTATCTTTGTTACTAAACACCGGGTGAACATACGCATCTTGTAAATAATCCTTCACATTTAAACTTGGCTCCCTTGCTCTTTCTAATGTGTCTTTCATCATAGCTTCCTGTAAAGGGTACCTAACGAAAGCTGGTTCAAATCTTCCTTTACAGAATCTATGAAACCAAAGTGTCAACACAGGGAGTACAATAAGCAATGGGGTTGATTGAGCAGCTTCTTTTGTGCTAAGTAAACCCATTAAAAGCAGCTGTGAAACAACCAGTGCAGTTATGATTCTCCCATGAACATCTGGCCAAAATGCTCCAGCACTTTCGTATTGTTGATTATATACATTTATAATCTGTATATAAATAACTGTCAGTATTTGAAGAATATATATATATTATTTTATTTATATATATATTTATTACCTGATGACGATATACGACGTAGGCTAAGGCAAAGAAGACGACTATGAAAGGAAGAAGAATTGGGGTGACAGAAGCATAAACAAGGCCGAGTAAGTAATAAAGCTGGATTTGAGGTTCACCGGTGTTGAAAGGTAAACTCCCTGGATTCATTGCTTCTTCTCTATCTTTTTCAGTTTTCACTAACAAAAAATTCTTCAAGTGATAAAAGATCAGCGGTTTTAATCTTAAAATCTCTCCTGCAACTCCCGCCCATCCGTCTACCATTATGTAAGTGATGAAGAAGGTCGCCTTCATTGGTATCGATGCACCGATTGTAGCTGGGATCCTGTGATTTATCATGAATTTCAACAATCAATCAGAATTCAGACAGAAGTTGCAGATTTTTTACTTCGACAAATCTTACGTGTTTGCAGATTGGTGGATGAAGGTGTTTAGCTGTTGAAATGCAGTTCCGGTGATTATGCTTCCAAGGAAGACGTTGATGAATTGGAAGATATAATAGCGAGTTGCGGATCTTCTCTCGAGAGCTGAAATGGATGTGAATCCTTCAAATTTAGACATCATCATGAGGATCGAAGGAAGAACAATCAGGAAGATCTTCAAAGCGATTCCAGGAAGAACACCTTGGATCACAGACTTGATAAACCCCCTGCACCACGAAAACACAGTAAATACTAAATAACTTAATGTAATAAGAGCAATATACGAGACAACTTACACTTCGAGAAGAGACTGTAAGAAGGGAGCGGCTTTGACGATTCCATCGATATTAGCTAGCGATTGAACGAATGCAATCGGAATCATGAAGAAGAAAGTAAGGAAGAAAAACGCGACAGCGATTACAAGCCTTCGAATCGTGAGTGAAACGAATGGAATCGCGAGATTATCCCAATAAACATCGCGAGGTTCAGGCGCCCATTCCGTTAACCAAATCGTCGGATTCCTGGATTGTTCGGTTTGTGCACAAACCGCAGCTCCCCATCGTGTTTTAAACGAGACGAATGCAGCTGCCATAACATGTTTCGAGCTTTTCGTGATTATTTCCCTCTCTTTGAATATCTGCAAATTAATAAAACCACGAACTAGGGTTTAGGAAGGACGATGAAAACGTAGATTAAAAGCTAAAACAACACATTTGATTTTGGAGCTTACCTTTTTCGATAGTTTCTCGACTTCAGATTCGTAAAAGTCGATAGCATCCACTCTCTTTCCCCACAAACCAAGATAACCAGTCTGTTACATAAACAAAAGAAAACAAATTCATAAGAAAATGCCATTTAGAAATTAGAAAAGAAAACAAATTCATAAAGGGTAAAATGGTCATTTAATGTCTATTAATACCTTTACTGATGGTCTTTTTGACTGGTTATTTCTATTATATTTAAGTTGATAGTAATCAAGCCAATTTTGCTTTGTTTTCTTCTCGTTTACCAAATCAGAGAGCAAGTGTGCATCATAAACAACCTGAAATGACAATCTGCTTATAAGAAACCTGAATAAATTTATAAAACATATATATATATTTTATAAGAATTTAAAAAAAAAAAAAAAAACAAAACCTGATGAGATAGATAGTGATCAGGATGGTTGACTAGAAAAAAGTGTTCCACGAGTTCGTTGACCGATTCATCAGGGTCAGGGGGGACATTTCTAACTAGCACCTACGAAAATTACAATGTTAAATAATCTTTGATTTATTAAAATATAAATTCAATAAAAAAAAATATACGATTTTATAATAATCTTACTGTAAATTGATCGGGTCTTCGGTTTTCTGAAGCGATAAAATGCAACCTCATTGATGCAACTATCTCATATTCTCTTTTTAAAATATAACATGTCCAAAAGGTAAAAGCATATGCCATGACTATATGTGTAAAGAATCTGCAACAATGATTTTCAGATTCATATTGTAAAAATTATATTGGGATTCAATCTTTTTAAAATATTATTGCCACAAAGTTTAATATATATAATAAGTTGTGATTATTACCTGTTTGATCCAGTTGGAATGTTGGAAATCGAAAGCTTGTCTATGTCACTATATGTTAATTTAGATTCCTCCAAAGTTCGATTGGTGAAATTGACTGGAACCATAACTGAGAAAGCGAGGCATGCTATTGGAACAAAGATCTTCAATCTGATATGAATTATGAACAACATATTAATTGCATCTGGATCTGGTGAAAGTTATAAACAAAATAAGGTGAAGTGGAAGAATACCCTGTTAAGTAAATTCTCAAGTAAAGAACAGAGTCTAATCCGGCATGATCGATAAGCTCAGGCTCAGGCATACGTAATGCAGCAGGCATCCAATTCAGGAACTTTAAGTATGATCTGAAGTCTAAGTTTACAAACTTCTGCACAAATGCACCTGATTGAAGTGGATTGCTCCTTAATCCCCTTAGATACCATTTTGGAAAATATACTCTGTCGTTTATAGGTTGAATCCGAAGTATCGCAAATGCTACCAAAAATGCGAATGCAGTGAGGATGTTTACGGTAGCTGCAAGCCCTATTTCAGTACTTGAAGCCATAATGTAACTTCACAAAATTGTGTATTCACCTGAAGAAGATTGATTAAAAAAAAAAAAAAAAACTGTCAGAATCCTATTTAACACCTAATTTCAAGTTCCAACCACTGAAACTTTCAAATTCAGTGAGAAATCACAATTGTATTGATCATCGATGATATTTTATCGTGTTTCGTTCTTCAAATCGATAATAATTTGTTGTAAATGTAGAAATATGATGAGAAGAGCTTCCTGTTTAACCAGTGAAATAAGTAAATTCTACGCAGCATCAATTGGGGGTTTCAAACGAAGTCATATCGATGAATAATCAAAATCGAACACAAAATATACGGAAAAATCGCGGATACGTACTGATTGTGTTCGGATATCTTCAAAACTTGTGCTCCAATTAGTACTCGATATACTTGTAAAAGTCCTTCAGATGCCGAACAAAACTCGACGCTTTTAGTCGATTTGAAGCCTGTGAAAGATGCTGATGAAGACGATACACAGAGTGTAGGAATCCGTCTGGAAGAAATTGATTATAGCGGTGTTGGACGTGTGAATTGTGTGTGTGTGTGTGTGAGGGAGTGAGTGATTTGGTAAACGTTCGATGAAGATGAAGGGGAAGGCGGTGGGCTTTTTGGGTTTGAAAGTTGTAGAGACGTGGCATCGGATCGTAGTAACGGCTATATTCTATATGGACTTTCTTACTTTCATACTAAGAAATCTTTCACTAACGACAATTGTAATTGTATTGTATTATAATATTTCATAAGGATGAATCAAAATTGTTAAGTCTAAATTTTTAAAATTTGTCATGGTTGATCGGTTGTGATATCTTTCACACTTGGTCACTTACACCCCGTTCCCGAGTTGTAGCAGAGAAAAGAAGAGAAGAGAAAAGAAAGTAAGGAGAGAAAAGAAGAGAAGAGAAAGGAAAAGAAATTTGTGTTTTGTGTTCCCGAGTTGGAGAGAAATGGAAAGAAAGTTAAACATTTTGTTCTTTCTCTCCAAATCCTTCCAAATCGGAAGGAAAGTTAGGAGGGAAAGTGATCCCTCCATTTCCTTCCACTTCCCTCCTTTAATGAAACTCGGGAACACCAATTTCTCTTACTTTCCTCCCACTTCCACCTATTTCCTTTCTTTTCTCTCTTTAAATTGAACTCGGGAACGGGGTGTTAGTTATTTAAGAAAATTTCCATCTTTCCATTTTCTTAATATATTTATTTTAGTTGTTTAATAAAAAAGCCTTATCTACCACCATCATATTCATAGATCTAACCTAAACCAAATTTAAATCCCTTATCTAAAATCAAAACTAAACTGAATCCTAAAGTAAATATATATCTATAAGAGAAAAATCAAAACAAAAACAATGTTCGACTACAAAGCTAACCATAACCCTAACTCTAAATCAAAATGGGAAGGAAAGAAGAAGGGTAGGTGTGACGAGGCCATAGGTGGTTAGAGAGAGCAAAATGATGTTAATTGAGACACCCGCGATCGGTGTTGAAGCCTAACTATCATTATCAACAATCACCACCACCATCATTGGTAGGCCTTAACACCACATGAGATAAAGATACAACAGGAGGAGATGAGGCGGTAAAGAGAGCACATAGGTGTTGATTGGGACATCGACGAAGATGAAGAAGTTCTGAATATGGAGATTGGAGGAGATAGTTGTGGAAGATGGAAGGGTGGCGGTAATAAGCATTGGTTCTACAACTCGATTGTTGAAATCCTTTAGGTGTTGTTTTTATTATTTTATAAATATGATTCCTAAAGTTATTAATAATGTGAATATAAAATATAACATAAAAAGGGATATAATAACTATTATGCATGCATCTAATGGTTGAAAATTAATGGAGTTAGTCTTAGGGACCACACATGTAACTTTTGGAAACCATGGGAGGAACCACATTAATTTTTATAAACTTGGACTCAACTTGCAGATAGCAAAGTTGTTAAAATTATGATCTTGATCGTAAGGTCATACGATCTTATGATCTCATTTAAGTAAATCGATATCGATCTTATTTTGAACGTGTTTAGGTGGGATCACAATAGGATTGTATGATCGAATCGTAATATTGTTACTATTTTCTTTAATTCTTAATAGTTTGATTTGACTAAGTGAGCTAAGTATGAACTTTTGAAAAAATTCATTTGAATTTTTTATTCAGTTACGTATATTGATGTATTTTTCAAGTTTAAACTATATATTGTTAGTAGAATGGTTAATTGATGGATGAATATGTATTTTTTATGTTTTAAAAGATTTTAGTATGATCTTACAATCCCAATTTGATCTTACAATTACGATCTCGTAAAACAAAAAACAACCATAAAATTCCAATCTTGATAGCCTTGATAGATATGTGTGTTTGTAGACACAAAAACAAAAACTGTAATTTAATATTATTTAATAGACAAGTTTAGAAATATGTAGTTGTAAAAATTTGAAGGTATATAATGATAGAAAATATAAAAACTAAAAATTATTTCTATTTTTTTAAAAGTTAATTGAAGTAGCTTTTTAAATTATAAATTTTTGTTTAAAATAAAAGATTTAAGCATGTAATTTTAAACAAACTCATTCTTGTAATTCGAGTAAAAATACCATAACTTGAAATCTTCTAAACATCAAAAAATATATTTTTCTTAAAAGAATATACATATTTAAGAGAATAGTTGCATGTATTAGGTATAACATTACCAAATATTCATTTGCAAGTTTTATGAAACATTTTGTTGATATATAATTTGGTAGGCATTAAATTTACTTCTATTCTTAAATCATATGATGTTTTGGACGCACAAATACAATACATATACTTCCAAAGAAATACATCAACCCCACTACCATCTAAAGTTACAATGCACATGCACAAACAATATTAAACATATAACAATAATGTATTTAAGATGATATTTATATGAGACAATACAATTTTCATGTACAAAGTCAAGATATTTTAATATGTTCATTTAAGCAATGTATTTTAGTAACTTTATGGAAAACAATAACTTATTTTTAAATAAGTTAATATCATAGAATAGCAACATACTTTCATAAATATTTTGTTTTTTTATGTACTTTTTGTACAATATATGTGATTCACGTGTTGTTTAAAACCAACTTCACATATTGATTAATATTTAGTTAGAAAAACCCCGAGATTCAAGATCGAAATTTGGTTTCTTAATAAAATTAATAAGGAACGTTTGGTTTGAAGGATTTGAAATTAAATTCCATTCAAATTTCATGTTTGATTCAATGTTATATGAAATTTCAAAGTGTAGGATCTCAAAAGGTATCTACAAAAAAGTAAAAACCCCTAAAACATAGAATTCTACAAATCTTCCAATTTTGCGGAGGTTTCAAAAATACTAAAAAGAGAAATAGACTTATGAAGGTAATTATTTTTTTCGTTTTGTTTACATTTTGGTAACTTTTTTTTTTACACATCTAGGTAATGAACTTATCGGAAATGTTTACATATAATCATTATGATCGGTTGTAGGTTGTTATAGTCGGTCATAATGGTTATATGTGAATACTTACAAAAAGTTCGTTACTCATATGTGTAAAAAAAATAGTTACCCATATGTGAGGTGACAACCATTTTTATGGCGGAGCAAGTAAAGGAATGGGAGGTGACTGATGCTACCGGAGATAGATATAGTCTGTCAGAAAAGAAAGAGACGTTGTTAGTGATGGATGTGGTGCCGGAAACTGACGCCTGCATTGAAGATGAAGGCTTAACCACATGTATATGTTTTCTTTGACTTGCTGTTTACCCAAATTAGGTTAGGTTTGAGCTATTGGGCCAATGCCATCAATGGACTAATTTAAGTGTGGGCTTCATTTTATTTTGGGTTTTCTTTCTTATGGACTAAAAATTTCAAGGAAATATAGATTGTGGGCTACTTTGTTCCAATGGACTCCCTTTGAAGAGATATGAATTTAAATGGGATAGAAAAATATCATGGGGGTCGTGGCTAGTAATTGGGGTGTATATAATTATAAATTAAATTAACAGAGTCCTTCAAATTCATAGAAAGCGTGAAATTAAGTTTTGATTAAAGACATAAACATTATTTTTGGGTTATATAATTAAGTTGGCCACTTAGCGGTGCGATCGATAATTTGGTTTAATGATTCACAACTTTCATTTTATTAAGTATATGAATATGAGTCTTAGACCGAGGATTTAACCTGATTGGTATCAGGTGGTTTGGGCTAGCAGTTGTTGGGATTTAGCTCTTTGACTCAAGTGAGTTTTCATCATTGTACTTATGGGTCGACGACACCAAGGCCTACCCATTGATTTGATATCTTGATATTCACTGATATGATGAGTATGCAATAGATATACATGATTATGCTAGTTATTGATATGTTAGGCTGGTAGATATGTAGGACTACCTATGATATTGCCTGTTTATATGTATATGATGTTATCTATTATATGTCGACATATTGTGTGGGTTGGGTTGAGGTTGTACTGCTCCATGTGTAGCCAACAAACCCTGAAACATACCAGATATGAACTGAGGGCCAGGAAGGGCATGCCAGACTCATACGGAGGGCTTAATAGCATTCCAGATAAGAGCTGACGGCCGGGGAGGGCATGTCAGACTCGTATTGAGGGTTGAACATTGGTATTTCAATCCGATAACTGATTAGGTTGAGGAGCAAACAAGACATAAGTTGTAGGCCTAATGTGCAAGCCAGACTTATGATGTGGGCTCAGGAACAAGCCAGAAATGAGTTGTGGGCCTGATGGCAAGCCAGACTAATACTGTGGCTCAGGGGTAATCCAGTCTTTTAGTTGTGGACCTAGTACATGTTATTCGTATATATTATCTGTTTGTGTGTTGGTACTTTGGGGGGAACTCACTAAGCTTCATGCTTATAGTTTTGTTTATGGTTTCAAGTTCTTTAGATATTTCGTGGCAAGGCGAAGGCATGACCATACACATCCTTGGTTTTACAACAGAGTGGATCTTGAGAGACTCTGATTTTAAATCATGTTTTTGGAGACAATGTTTTGTAGACACTTTTGTTAATATAATTGTTGTTTTGAAACTTTAAATTTGTTGAAATTTTTGGGAAGTTACAAAAGTTATTTTAAGCTACTCATTTGAAAACTTTTAATGATTATAAAAATATCTTTAGAAAATATTTTACTTAAATTGAGACTATAATTTAGTTTTTGCATTTAGTACTACAATTTATCACTTTTAACTATTCACAAAATATTCTTTGGGTATTTTAAGCGGAATGAAATTTATATTTAAGTTGACAATGTAATGTTATATTTAAATTAACAGTTTAAGTATTTTGTCTAAACCGTTCAAAAGTTGTAGTTTTAAACTGATAATGGTTTACATACAACAACATTTTAAATCTAACAAATTAAGTATAATATCTTAAAAGTTAAATACTTTACTTTATAAGTAAAAGTAAATATATTATTTTAAAATTGAATTTAGTTTATTTATGATTACACTTTAGGTTCGATATTTATTTAATCTTATTAACCACCTTATAATTATTTTTAGAAAGACACTACAATTTATCACTTTTAACTATTTATAAAATATTTTTTGGGTTATTTAAGTTAAACTAAAGTTTATATTTAAATCGACCTTGTAATTTTATATTTAAATTAATAATTTAAATATTTTATATAAATTATTCCAAAATTATATCTTGAAAATGTTAATTACTTACATCCTACAATATATCAAAACTAAGTATAATATGTTAAAAGTTAAAAAACTTTACTTTATAAGTAAAAGTAAATATATTATTTTAATATTAAAATTTGGTTTATATATGATTACACTTTAAGTTTGATATTTATTTAACATTATCAATCAACTTATAATTATTATTAGAAAGAAAATTAAAAAGTCATAAGAATTTTAAAAGAATGTGATGAAAGAAAAAATATATAAAAGTTTCAAACGAATGTAATGAAAAAAAATGATTTCTTTATAAATATATATAAATATAAATATAGATAATTGCTAATATTTATGATAAATATTAAAATATATAAGTTAGTTGATGTGGCAATAACCATCATTTTAAAAAGAAAAGTTATATTGCATTGACGTAGAAATAATCGTAGAGTTGATATAACATATTTGAAATAGGGATAATGACTTGGGAGGGTAATTAGGTTTCTTGTTTGTCCGCATTAGGTCACTTAGGTTTTTTTTGTGCGTATTAGACCATTATGGTCGTAATTACCGTTTACATTTAACCCTTTTTACCGTTTGCTTCTTGTTTAGCTTAGTTGGCAGCTTACGTGTTCGGTGGCATGCCTATAACAACCCCATCGAGTCCACCTCAAACAATGTCCTATTTTTCTTATGCCCTAAATTGAAGAGTTGAAGAAGAACAGAAGAAGATGTCGCAAGCCTCCATCGCCTCCACCTCAAACAACCGAATCATGTGCTACTGTGGGCTCCCGAGTCGGATTCGAGTATCCACGACATCACAGAATCCGGGGAAAAGGTTCAGAACATGCCCTAATTCGTTGGTAATGGCCAATTTTGAAGATTGAAGCTTTTCTCTCTTTAAATCTCTGTTATAAGTGTGTAAGTTATGGCATTTATGCTAAAGTTTTGTTCTTTTTCATTTTTTTATAGAGAGCAGGGAGAAAGTGTGGATTTTGGGAATGGGTTGTTGAAGATCCGTACACAGAGGAGCTTTTGGGTCTTAGTCATTAGCTGAATGAAATGAAGAAGATGATGAAATGGCATAAAGTAGCTTTGATTGTCTTGTTTCTATTGTACTTTGTTAAATTATATTGAATGGAATTATGATGCAGTAGACATCTTTTGAATATAAAGGGTACCCATTATTTTGTTATTCTGATTGTAAGGGTACCTATAATGTAATGAAATCATATATATGAATGCAAATGAAGCTTTTGGTAATGAAAATTTTAATTGTAATGTGTTGAAATCTAAATGCTATTATAGTGAACAACCAATCTCAGTGTAATGCAAAAGCAGTAATTATAATGAACAACCAAGAATCAGTTAAAAGTTTTAAAGGAGAAAATATATTAAAGGAAGAAGCAGTAATTGAAGGCAAAGTACATCTGTAAAGCGCATGATTCAACAACCAAGAATCAGTTTAAAGATTTAAAGCAAAAAATATATTAAAGGGTAATATTGTCATAGCTACAAACACCCTTAAAAAGGTGTCCCATTAAGCATCAAAATAGCATCAAAAGCTGGATAGTTTTGTCCCTTAGTCTAGTACAACATTACATTTAATATCAAAAGATTTGACCATCACATGCTTACCTAACATTTACACCCCACATGCATACATAACAAAAAAAAGAGTTCAACATCAAACCTACAATCAACCCAAATCTACAGGTTTGTTTGAACTACAACCACTACCATCCTTGGGCACCACTTTTTTCCTCAGGCATTTTTTGATGATTCTTTCTGAAGCTTTCCTCTTTCTCAATTGAACTTCACTTTGAACTGGTCTTGCAGAAGTGGATCTTGGAGTTACAGGAGTGGATCTTGGTCTTGGAGTTGCAGAAGTGGATCTTGGTCTTGGAGTTGCCGGAGTGGATCTTGGAGCTGCAGAAGTGGATCCTGGTGTTGGACTTGGAGCTGCAGAAGTGGATCCTGGTGTTGCACTTGGAGCTAGAGTGGAAGATCCAGGAACCGGATCACCTGTTGTTGGGAACCCATTTTTTTTATGCCCACTAACATAGCATATTGAACACCTTTGCACCTGCTTTACTCTTGATACTGTGTGTGTGCTTGATATCTCCCTTTCTGCTGCACTTTTCCTCCTCTTAGTAGATGGCCTACCAGGTAGCCTTCTACTCTTTGGGGGTAAAGGTTTGGTGTACTCACTTTGTGTCCATAAAGAGCTATCATTCAAAGGATGAATAATGTATGCATAGCAGGTGAGATAAGTTGCCTTACTGTAACAGTTAGCTACATAATCCTCTGAGTTTAAGTTCATGGATGAAATTGCAGCCACTCCATGTACACAAGGTATTCCAGTCAACTGCCATCTCTTGCATCCACAAGTCCTTCTGATCAGGTCAATTGCATACCTGTCATTACATAATACCACCTCAAATTGTTGATACCCACAAGGGTACACAGCCCAGAATCTGTACATAAACATAAAACAGGTAAGAACACATAAACACATGTATAAATATTAACAAGTAAATACAAACATTCTTACCTTTGTTTCTCCTTCAAATCTCCTATTTTCTTCCTAATGCTTGGTCATACAGTTAAATCCCAAGCCTCTCCTTTACACCTCTGATGGTATAACCTCTGCATCACATAAACCCTTATATCCTCCAACATTGCTATTATTGGTTTATGTCTAGCCTGAACTATTTCAGCATTAAAACTCTCTAAAATTCCATTTTCCACAGCATCACAAAATACTCTTTCTACTTGAAAAGCCCTGCAATAACAGTTAGGGTCCCTCTCCATGAGATAATCAAATGCCCCCTGTCTAATTCCTTGATCTCTTGCATAGCAGCTTCATGTCTCTGTTTTGTAGTAGCCTTCACAGCTCTCCAAAATGGCTTGATAAAATGCTCACCTTTGAACCTTGTGTTAAAGTTGGCTAGTATGTGCCTAGCACATAATCTATGCCCAGCATGAGGAACCCTTTCTTTGATAGCTTCAATTAAACCCTGAACAATTTACAATATTAATTAATAATTAAACTATAAAGTTAAGAGTAAACATGAGTAGTACCTTGTGTCCATCTGATATAAGAGTAAGCCCATTTCCACTGCCTTTGTCAATATCATCCATGAGTAGATCAAGAAACCATTTCCAAGTGTCTTTGTTCTCAACAGTCACAACAGCCCAAGCTAGTGGGAACATGCTGTTATTGGCATCCCTACCCACAACAGCTAAGAATTCACCCTTGCAAATTCCTTTGAGAAAGCACCCATCAATCCCAATGATTTGTCTACACCCTTCTACCCAATCATCTCTTACACCTTTAAAGCATACATACAACCGTTCGAAAATTAGACTTCCATCAAGGGTATGGTCAACATCCATACTCACAGTTGATCCTGTATTAGCTCTTTTGATTTATATGTCATAGTCCCACAACCTACTATAATGCTCTTTTAGAGTGCCTTCTATCTCAGACAATGCAAACTTTTTTGCATTTCTACATTGTCCAATGCTAACTATGATGTTGTATGTGCTTGAGATTTGAGCTTTCATCTTCCTCAAACTAAGCCTGGGGTTTTCCAGAAGTACATTGAAATATTGTTTCCCTATCCACTTGTAATTCACTAAGCCTATTTTAAAAACTCTACCACAATTGTGACTTGATTTAAGTGACTTAATCTGAAAAGTCCTTTCCTCTTGCATCCAAGAAGCCCACAACCGAAAAGGACATGAGGGTTCTTTGTCTTTGCAACACTTCACTAGAAGTCTGTTTTTATCATTCTTTTCATACCACAAATCATAACCATGCTTAACAGCATAGTTGGTAAGACATTGTTTAAGTTCAGTAGGATTGGTGAATTTCATACCTAACACAGGAGCCATTTCATCCCATTATTGCTCAGAATTGTGCACAGGGTATACAGGTGGTAGTTGCTCAACATTAGAATCTTCTTCCTCTTCAACATTTGGACAAAGTTTGTTCAAAAACCTGTCTTTATTCTGAATAGTTGTTGTTGCCCTTTTCATTGAAAAATTCTCATCATCCACCTCGTGTTCCCAGCAGTCTTTATCTATTAACATTGAATCAACATCTTCATCTGCTTTGGAGTTGGTATCATCTTCAATTTCAGGCTCTTCCATTTCAATCCAGTCGAACAGGGGTTCATGCATATGGTCCACATACAAATTTACTTTCTTTTTCTCATGGAGACACTCATGAAATTCGTGGTAATCACATTCGTTATGCAATGCGGCCAATCCTTGACACAATGTTTGCCCATCTGGACAATAGTATACATCTTTGCATATTCTTCTAGTAATCACGTTGAGGTGCGCAATGAATTCAGCATACCCCATCTTCCTGAAACCGGCGTACATTATCTCCTTTTTATCTGGATCAAAATAGATTAGTGGTTTCTTGATGAACATCCCATTGTACCAGACTTCAACGACCGGTGTATCAGTTTCAGTCATTTGATTGTGAATTGATCGAAGTAAGAACAATGGGTGGGGACGATTGAGTGAGAGTGAAGAGAAAGTGATTGGGATTCGTCTTGCCCTAATTTAAGGAGACCTAGTATACATTAAATGCCACCTAATTATCCACGTAATGGCCTAATAACCACGTAACACCCGTATTCACTTTGTAACCGGTTAAACAAGAAGCAAACGGTAAAAAAGATTAAATGTAAACGGTAATTACGACCATAATGGTCTAATACGCACAAAAAAAAAAACCTAAGTGACCTAATGCGGACAAACAAGAAACCTAATTACCCTCCCAAGTCATTATCCCTTTGAAATACCAATAACATTGCATTGGTATAGATGGTCTAACTTGTATATTTATTTTGTGAATGTATCAAATATTTCTTAACAATCAAGTCTTACATGTTATATATAAGACGTTCCACAAAACTTAATAAACACCAACCAAATTCCATACAAAACCTCCTGTTGGCTTAAATCAAGAAACGAAGACGATCCAAGTGGTTTCACATATAAATCACAGATTTACACCAACACCACAAACAACACCATCAATTTACACAACCAAATTTCCCCTTCAATCAACCAATATCATAAACAATCATACTTTCAATAACAAGCACCAAATCAATTCTTCTGATGAACTGCTATTTGATGAATATCCATTTCTTTCAACATAACCGCCCGCCCACAAGAATCACACGGGGCAGTCCGGGACCCACATTTACTCTCGTGCTCTGAAAGCCCTTTTAACCGATCCCGCACATCAACCGCCAGTGTCCCCGCTTCCACCATATCCCCACAAAATCTACATGTCACCAAACGTAGCGCGCACTCTGACGCTTGATGTTCCACCTATAACAAACAAAACCCTCATCATTATCAACCACCGTAAAAATAACTTCACACAACAGACTAACAGACTGTACTGCATTTGACATGACATATCAGGTTGTACTGCATTTGAAATGACATATCAAGTCGTACCACGTTTGACATGATATATCAGGTTGTACTGCGTTTGATATGTAATGGACAAGGACTGAATTTGTACTCAATAAGACTATTTTATTGTATGAAATATTTGCTTACCATTTGAGTTTTTTCAAGGGTGATACCACAAGGACAAAGTAAAGGCTCATGGAACACTTTCATATGTTTTTCAATCTCTCTACAATGAAAAGCCAAGCCACATTTCACACAATGCACATGATTCTTAACCTCTTCAACCCTAAGAACAACCCCACAACCATCATGCTCACAAACAACATTATGTCTTCTACAATACGCCTCATGAAGCCCTATAGTCCTCAACGGTATATAATGCTTACAATTTCCACACTCCACAGTATCCACCAATGAAGAAGAAGAAGAAGACACACTTTGTTGACCTTGTTGACTTACATTTGTGGTGGGAATATCTTGAATGCTTACTATAACATTGTATTTTGTGGTACCCTTGAACCCATATACACCTACACTATATCCACCAATACCCACATTGTGATCTTTTGACCCGAGAACCAAATTTTTTGAACCCATGTCATGTGAAGACCAACCGTGCTGATGTGTACTTGGGAACAGAAGCGGGTGTCGCGAAAGATAAAGATCGGTGTCGCAATCTTTCGCTTCTGAATCTAATTTCACTTCAATTTCAGCATACCCAGATGAAATTTTCCTCCATGTTTCATCGTTTATTGTGAATTTGTAGTATATGTAATCACCTTGGTTTATGATTCCTGATTCGGGTTTTCCGAATGTTAGTGGCTTTAGAACATGTTGGGTGTTGTTTTCGGGAAGTGAATCAGGACCCACGATGTCGACTTCTATATCAGTTTCAAGAACGGATACACTCGGTGAAGGTTTGAGCTCGAGGACATGGAGATGATAAGTCAACACACCATGTTTGACTGTTAAAATGTCGTTTTGTGAAAGGGTTGCGTGTTGGCGAAGGGTTGTTTCAAGGACTGCTTTGTGGTTGGGTATGTCTGAGAATCCGAGTTCTTGTGATTGAAGCTTTGCGTATGTTCCTTTTGGAAGCCATACGTATTTGACTTCGATTAGAGGGGTAATTGGGTCTTTTTTGGAGTATAGGTTGTTCCAGATGTGAGGAGGGATGATAACAGTACCTTCATCTGCAGTGAATTCGAGGACACCAGCGTGGGTTGTTATGGTTTCTGATGGTGAAGAGTTGTTTTGGTGATGTACTGAAAGTTGGAAATGGAGGGGGCCTTTGTCGAAAGCACCTTCACTGGATAAATCGTTGAAACAGGAAGGAGGGAGTTTGATTTTATCACCGGAGCCTTCGAATGGTAGAGCTTCAAGAACACGATTGAAAGAGATTCCTCTTCCGACAAGTATGTTTTCTTCCATCTGTTGATCTGCCTGAACAATAGCAAAATGATCGAAGGTTAAAATGTTGTAATTTAGTCGTTATTGTGTTTCTGTGCCCTAAATCATCATGAAGTTGGATTACATGAGTCGCATCAAGTAATCAATATGAAAATCGTGATTTCAATCATGAATGTATTTATTCAATGGAATTGGATACCAATTGTTAAAGATGAATGAACAAAAAGGCATTGATTTCAATCACTTGACAATCAATCGAGAAGAACAAAACGGGGGGAAATGGTGTACCTTAAGTTGGGCTTCCATGGCATCGATTCTACGAGCTCTCTGAGAAGCCTCGATCGCCTCACGCTGACGATTAGCTTCTTGTTTGGCCTTTCTCTCTCTATCTAATCTTGCCCTCGCCTTCTCTTTCCTATCCTTTTGCTCTTTCTCCAATTTCTCTCTCGCTCTTCTCAACTCAAAATCCATCTTCTCTAGACTTCACAGATCTCCAACAACTTCAATGTCAATTTGAATCTTCGATACGTTTGATTATCGATCAGATTTGATATACTTTCGAAAATCTGCAAATTAAGCTTTGCCCTGTTCCTCAAGAAACTTGGTTAGGTTTTTCCTTCCTCTTTCCAGTTTGCACTTGATATTTGTAGTTTTACATGCGATCCAAATAATAATATAATGGATCGAGAAGCATCCACTACCTTCGTAGCTTTCCTTCTTCGGTTTGAAGTCTTCAATGGCTGGCCCGGGTTTCTCGAAGCCCAAATTCAAACAGCATGCCGTGTGTTCATACGTAGGTCCGATGATCAAATAACGTTTAAAAATAGACACATGTTCATGTTGGTTTGATTTAATATTTTTAGATGTAGTTTGGTTCGGCCCACAACGAAAACAAAACCAAACAAGTATCTCTCATATTTTATTTTCCTAACAATGTTCGTAAGGTTTATTAAGATCACGATTTTTTTTAAAGATTATTTTATATTTTATAAAATTATGATTGTAAATTTAGATTTGGAAATTATCAAAATTAACTAGTTTTCAAATTCACTCGCAATGTTTTGTTTGTACGTTGACCTGGCAAACGTGTCGTGTCATATCAAGACATTAAACATGATAAGAATGATTGACCATAATCCTACCCATTTATTCATCGTATTTTACATGTGTGACCATAATAAAAGATCTATTGTTGGTCGTGGTTATGTGTCTTTATGCTTTAGTTATGTAAAAAGTATTCTTCTTAAGAATATTATACATGTTCCTAAGATTAGGAAGAACTTAGTTTCTAATGGTGTAATCGATAAGTGTGGTTACAAACAAGTCTATGAATCTGATAAGTATATCTTATTAAAATATGGAACATCTCTTATCATTGCATGTTTAGAGTAAATG